TTTGTGTTGGGGTTAGTCCGTTCAGATGCAGGTACTAAATGACTGCTCTATTCCATTTCTTGTGATTTCAATGGGTAGGTTCACAAGATGATCTGGTACGAAGACAACAATAACACGAGCAGAACAGTAGGACGTTAAACCCAATTTCATTTCTTATGTCTATGATGCATTCAATGATTGTACTTGTTGGTGGCAAAAGTTTGTTTCAACCGAATCGATCTATCTTTTTCAGGCTTAGAACTTTCAGCCAGCCTTCGTGCTTTTCATGAAAACATTACATTCAAAACATGCAGAGTAGTCCGCCGTGACCCCAACTCCGAGGTTGGGAAGCCATGATACAGACAGAACACAAGTATTGACTTTAATTAAACCGGTTTTGCGTTAACGATTGGTTGTTCAGTCGGTTGTGTGTATCATGATGAAGTTGTTTAAAGAGGCAACGGTGTGCGTGTGTGTGTGATAATTTTATTTCACCGATTTTACTGTTAAAGTGGCACTATAATAGTTAAAAACTAGATAATGAAATGGGAATAATCTGAAAATTTCAATCAAATTGCTCCACTCTGAACCGAGATATTAGCATTTGAATTTTAGGCCTAGCCTCGATCATCATTACCATAGACTCGATTATGGGCATTGAGCAGCAAATCGGATTCAAATTCCAGTGAAAATCCGACACATAAGATGGCATTGAGAGTTGATTAAGGTCTTTTCATGTTAATTAATGTTTATTTAATACATAAGGTCTGTCATTGAATCAAGTGGGGTAGTTTAGATTTCCCGGTGATACCTGGCAAGGAGTTGGGTCGTCTGTCGTTTGTCCCCCAGTTACCTCCCACTTCTATAAACTCCCACGCGCAAGCGAGTTATTGAAATAAAATTTAGCCATGTGTTAGTCCCGAAATGACCTAGTTTGTGTCGAGTGGACATGAAACCCTATTTCTCTCTCAGTCGCTTTTTAACCGATTTTTGTCCATTTTTGGTATCAAAGAATGAAGCTTTAGCTTTTTTAAGGCGATTAATCCTCACGTTGTCCAATCTGATTAAACACAGATCCTATTTCGTTTCGATTTTTATAGTTCAAAATTTCGTTTTACTTGTCTTCACTACAACAGGATCTGCATTCTGAACATCTGAGACACGCTACTTGCGGAGAAGTATCTCAGACACAGTCAGTAGCCATGATATCCATATCACGTGATCGACACATCACAGGTCATGACATTGGCGTCAATGGGTCATGAGGTCAACATTGTAAACAATCGGTTTATCTTCAGCATTGTGTCCGTTGCACCCATAAAGACTCTATAATTCGTAGAGTCCTAACATGTTTCCTCTTCTTCCAATGATTTTTCACAAAAATAACATCTACAACTCATAGAATTGACGTTGTCTTCAATGACAGCGTCTGCGAGGGTTGTTCATAGAGGCCGCCATATTGCACTATTTTGTGCGTCGGTCGGGTCTATTTCAGATATACACAATCAATTCTGTTGATGTTTTTAGCGTTGGGATTGACTAATAGTTAAAGTGTTTCAGTTCTAAAACAAATATTTTAAACTTAAACGCAAATTTAGAAAATAGCCAAATTCTGGCTGGGATTACTGAGCAAAATGGCCATTCACTGTATACGTGCGAAAAAAAAGCTAGCCACCAATTAATTTTCGTACGTTAGTTACGTACGCAGGATCTGGAGAGACCAGTATAAAAAAAAAACGAAACGAAATATAAATCTGTATTTTAATCAGATTGGGTGTTATCTAATTATTCGCCATAATGTTTTTTGCATTGATTTACATCAAATGAAATGAAATGGGGTTTAACGTCCTACTGTTCTGCTCCTAACCCGGGCAAATGAAGACGGGCATACGCCATTCAGTGTACTATGAGGGAAATTTCGCCCGGGCAGCGGCACTATTGCCTACTCTTATATCGAATTCCAACTGCCAAGGGATCTTTTACGTGCATTCCAATGTATACACGGGACCTCGGTTTTTCGTCTCGTCCGAAGGACTAGACAGCTGTCTTTGGATTTACATCAAGTAAAACATGAAGTCCTAATTGCAATATCGATTGGGGATTTGATTACATTTTTCAGAAAACACCCTGATTATTCCAGTAACAGGTCGACACTGTGTCATCGCAACACAGGCCCACTATGGATTGAAAATCCGACTTTGAAAATCCGATGGGTGGCCTCGGAGGGCCTTGGAACGCCCGATCACTACCACTCTATAGCAGATGGAGTCCTCAGCTCACATCGCTTTTTGCGCAGCTGAGATTTTTCGTTGGGATCCCCCTTATCTGGTGTGTGTGTGTGGGGGGGGGGGGGGGGTCTGGGCGCCGTGGGTAATCCGGTGCTGTTGATAAATCACCTATTGTAGTTCTCTGTGAAAGCATAAATTATAACTTCTTTGTACAATTTTATGGAAACACAATTTCTGAGTTGAATACTACGCATCCAACCTCGTGGTATTTCTCCGTGTCCTCCGACTTCCTCCCACTGCTAAAGACCCCTACGCGCAAGCGAATTATTAAAATAAAATTGAAACAAACGTTAGCACCAAAATGACCTAGTTTGTGTCGAGTGGACGTTAAACCCCATTTCTAAACATATGTTAGTCCTGAAATGACCTAGTTTGTGTCGAGTGGACGTTACCGCGCCCCCTCCCTCTTTTTAATACTATGCAAGGTTTCCACGGAGATAGGCCTACTCATCTTTATCATTTGGATGACAAAGACGAGAATATTCTTGTCGAAACGTCGCATAGTATTAAACTCGGTAGGCCTATCCTTAAAATTGTACTTTGTGTTCAGGAATAAATACCTCAGAACTTATGATTTACTCTACATCCCCTCAAGTCATCCGCTATTAACCTTTTTAATATGATAACATCGCCCGAGGACATGTTTATATAACACGATCATATTGTTTATTTTTACAAAACGAAGAGCTGACGGCAAGATGCCACAGGGCCATTTTTGTCTGTTATTCATCATTATGTAAGATTTAGATAAAGACCTGGCCGTTCTCGCTATAGTATTTCAAAAATAGATAATGCAAAATAAATATACTGACAATTTCATTCAAATTATTTTATTTTGAGCGAAGTTATCAATGGTTGTAGTCTGGACAAGATGTGTGCTTTGGTCGTAATCACCGTACTGGTCATTCGAGTCTCAGTCTCGCTTTTCCACTTTTAAATTAAATCATTAAATCGTCGAACCGTTTTAATCTACTTAAATATCATTTAAAGCCCAAACATAGACCTGCAATAGGCAGATTTAGCTCATACATAATGCCATTTTAAATAAATTAATGAAGACGGATACGCCACACGTGTGCTATGGGGAAAAGCGGCAAGAATTATTTTACGTTCAACCCATACACGTGAACTCGGTGTTTCGTATCATCCTAATAACTAGACAATGTGCCTTGTTAGGTCCATGTGTTCAACTGTTGGTTTGGCATTGTGAGGCGAAACGGTTTTGGTCCGATGCATGAATATTTTACGTTTAGTCAGATAAAATGGGTAGCCTATCACCCATATGGAATCGGATACCCCACCTCTTTCTCTTTCTTCTATTTTTTTTTTAAATATTGTCACATAATTGTGGTAAATGTTATATCCCGTACTTGGTGGATAATTCAATAAAGAGGTTGAAAAATATTCAAAATATAAATTCAAATTATGAGATTTTATTCTAGAAATTGAAAATTAACGAAAGTATTTAGATAGTGGGATTCGGGGGAGCTTGATCCACAATCTATTTGATATGGCCAACTTCAAATTTGGTCAAAGGTCACGAGATGTAGGCTAAACGGGGCTAGCGTTAATCTCAATCCTAACCCTGGACCCAGCCCTAACGGTTACCCTAACCCTAATCTACAATCTTGCCCAGTTATTACGGGCAACCTTATTTACACCCAAGCGACCTTGACGAAATCTTGAGTTGGCCTTAAGCAATAGATCTCTAGGCCTAGTCATTCAAAATTCGGGTACTACTGTCGTCGATCATTAAAGGCTCAATACCACTCTTGTTGTAACTGAATAATATGTCCCAATCTTTATTCTGGTCAACAAATTGTACTATTTTACAATATTCCAATTAATTGATGATACAAATTTCATCTTAACACACCTTATTTAAAATTTTTGAAAAATTCAACATAATGGTTTGAAACGTCTAACGTAAACCTTTTCAAATGAAACTTCGATTTAAAAATATTTTCGAACCCTCTGGACAAGTAAAATAGGATGTAATGGATAATTTACACAACAGGTAGGACACTTAAACATCTAGTACTTAGATAGAGATATTATTTATTTTCTGGGGCTTTCAAGCCAGCAAGAGTGTTATTGTCCCTTTAATGCAGATTAGATCAACATACGGACCGTAATTTATTTATAGCCTACGGCTATAAAAATTCAAAATAAATCAAAACAATATGTTTTATAATTCTAATCAGCTTTATTAGATACATTTATAAACTATCGTAGTTATTTACCATATGACATCAACTTCATATAACAGGTGGTTTTGTGGGGGGGGGGGGGGGGCGAATGGTGAGCACATGCGCGCTGTTTCATAAGGCCTGTCGAATTGAGTCAACTGGCGTGGTTCGATTCCCCCGGTTGTACGTGAGAAGAAGTAGGTTCGTCTGTTCAACCTCGTGGGTTTTCTCCGGTTCCTCCGGTTTCCTAGACCTCACTGCTAAAAACCCCTACGCGCAATTAAGCGAATTATTGAAAAGAAAAAAAAAATTAAACCATATGTTAGTCCCGAAATGACCTAGTTTGTTTCGAGTGGACGTTAAACCCCATTTCTCGCTCTCTCATATAGCAGGCTATCTATCGCAGTTATTTACAATAACATCACAGAGATTTATCTAGGTTAAAACGACCTAATTCTAGAAAATACTTTCAGTTTGGAAAAATAGAAACGAAGTACGCATGCTCTGTAAAATAACTTCTCACACCTAGCTCGAGACACAAACAACAATGTCGGACGCCTGTCATCGTAGTGTAGTTTATCAGACGTTTGTGTTAAGTTCTTACCGTTAATTAACGATGACATCAGTCATGCTTTGTCCAGGTGCATTGGAGTAGGTTGGGAATCGATAAATTCGTTGACACTGTGATCAAATTATCGGGTTTTAAATGGAAAATGATCAGTTTAAGTTGTGCTTACACTAATGCTACTTACTCTGTGTCGCTATCTTTATCAAGTTATGGAATCGAATGCAAATGTGATAGTTAATTTATACGGAGCAGCATCATGTCTGAATTCTTCGCTGTCGCATTAGTTTAAAACAACAATAATCAAGTTAACGCGACGACGAATTCACTCATCCATTCGTTATTCTCTCAGCTATCATTCGGATCTTAGTCCCCTTCACCTCCAGCGACTGTAATAATAATAGGTGTCGCTAGTTATGACGAGGTGGCTATTTTTAGATTTACCGTAGATTCTAATCGGGAGTAGAATTGGGTTAGTCTTGTTCTGACATGGTCGCTGGATACCGCTGTTAACTGTTTTGTGACATAGATTCTTAGATGTTAATACATTACTGTGTCAAGGTGTCGAGTAAAATGGAGCACGATAGAAATATTAGAAATGGATTAATAGCGATGCCGCAGAAGAAGTAAGTGACTCAATTAAATTTCTTTGACAATAATTATTATTTTGTATTATATTAAATCTAGGACAAATAGTTTTTAAGAGAGAGAGAAAGAGAGAGAGATGGTGGGAGGGTTTAACGTCCACTCGACACAAACTAGGGCATTTCGAGACTATATATAACATATATGCTTCAATTTTTATTTCAATAATTCGCTTATGCTCGTAGGGGTCTTTAGCTGTAGAAGGAAACCAAGAGGACCCGGAGAAAACCCACGAGGTTGGTCAGGCGACCCTTCTTGTCAGGCGACCCTACTCCTGCAATCATTGACAAGTAGTGAAGTACAACCGGGAATCGAAAACACTCCAGTATACCAAATGACAGATCTTATGATCATTTGGCCATCCCCCCCACCCCCTCGTAAAATAGCTTTTAATAGCAAAGTATTTATATTGAAAGTCTCAATCAAATTTATTTTGTACATAAAAGTACGTATGATTTTGCTCATTAATTTATTTTTTTATGATTTTGCTCAATATTTTTTTTTTTTATTGTTATAATAATATTTAGATAAATATTACATGTACTTAATTTGTCAGAGGAGATTGTTCACCTGTTTTTTTTGCCAATGAAAAGCCTGTAATAGTGTCATAGAATGTAATAGTGGGCAACATGTATAACATTTTTGCAGGGTGCTGAGTGGACCTACATTTTTGAAGTCGTAAAATTGTTTATTTTAGAATGGATGTTTTTTAAGAGTGGGTGTGGCATGGTAGTTAAAGGGCCATCCATGTACAGTACAGTGCTGGAGTTTGGGAATAGAATCGCGGATTCTAGTTGGAGGGGAAGGGGGAATCTTGGCGAAGAATGCCAGTTAACTTGCCCACAAACAAACCCGTCCACACGAAAAGTCTATAATTGAGTTGTCCACTAGGCATTGGTTGAGTCGTCAACACGACATAGTTTAATTTCAGGATAATCTTCCCTGTGCTCAACAGCTACATTGAAGATGTCTGCCTAAAAAGTGATATTTATCTGTTTAAAGTCAATGCTCGTGTTTAAGATCATGCATGCTATTTTGTAAATGTGGTGTATTTAGTAAAACAGTTTTGGATTTTAGCAGTTTTGGATCATTTCATTTTCACTCTTATTAAAGCTCTTGTGAATGTGTTTAAATCAATTCTTGTGAATGTGTTTAAATCAATTCTTGTGAATGTGTTTAAATCAATTCTTTGGAATGTGTTTAAATCAATTTATTCTGACACTTCATCCAGTTATTTATAATAACTCTTAGATTTCTATACTCGCCAGCGATCCACCCTTCGTTCTTCAAGTGGTCCTAACATATTGAGGATTCCTAAATATAATAAACGTTCCCTGTTGAATATGCTTTCTACGTACATGTACATGTAAGAGCAGCTAAAATGTGAAATAATCTTCCAAAAACTATACGAGAGTCCTCTTCCATTTAGAGTTTTAAGACTAACTTAAAAACATTTATTTCAAAAATGTTTTTGAACTGTTTTGTTGTGAATACGCTTAGAAACACTCATGTGTAATGAAGCACTGTATAAATCAAACAATAATATTTGTGAACATTCTTCAATGAAAAGATAGTCATACCAGTGTTGGGGGGTTGGATGGCTGAATGGTTAGCGTGCGCGCGCTGTATCATAAAGTCTGTCATTGAGTCGACTGGCGTGGTTTCGAATCCCCGGTTGTACGTGGCAAGGAGTAGGGTCGCCTGTCCAACCTCGTGGGTTTTCTCCGGGTCCTCCGGTTTCCTCCCACTGCTAAAGACCCCTACGCGCAACCTAATTATGCAAATAAAATTAAACCATATGTTAGTCCCGAAATGACCTAGTTTGTGTCGAGTGGACGTTAAACCCCATTTCTCTCTCTCTCTCATACCAGTGTCATTGAACCATAATCGTGACAAGTTAGTTTAAGCAATGGTGATTATAGATTACCAACTCAACTATTCAACAGAGAGAGAGAGAGAGAGAGAGAGACTTAACTAGCTTGATTCACCTTGATTCACATTTTCCTCGCCTACTCATATGTATATATATAGAGAGAGAGGGTTTAACGTCTACTTGACACAAACTAGGTCATTTCGGGACTAACATATGGTTCAATCTTATTTCATTAATTCGCGTGCGCGTATGGGTCTTTAGCAGTGGGAGGAAATCGGAGGACCCAGAGAAAACCCACAAGGTTGGACAGCAGGTGACCCTACTCCTTGTCACGTACAAAGTGATAATGACAGAGTTTATGATTCAATGCACTCGCGCTATCCATTCGGTCATCCACTCAAAGCCCCCCCCCCCCCCCCCCCCCCCCCGCGTTAACTTGATGCTTGCATAATGTATGTTTAATAACAAGAAATATTGGATCTATTAGAAAATTGTTAAAGGAGCTAAATCGCTAACAATTGGGACCTAGAAATTGACAAAAGTGGGTCGCAACGCATATAATACTGTAATATGAATGTATATAAACTGATTTACATTCAATGGTTTCCATTTTTACTCCAATTTCAAATCAGTTATGTTTGGCGAAATAAGCCAGCAGTCTCAAGCGAGTGCAAATTTCTAGCATCTGGTTATTCCAGTCTACATACGCCGTTGGATTTGGTGCAATGTGTCTAGCCTCCTCCCTCGAGTCTCTTGATACAACTGGGGCTGAAGCGCATTATAGTACACGATTCGTGTACCAATGATAAAATGTTTATTTTGTCTTAAATATTGGATATCAAAAGCCCATCTTTTTCCTAGTAAAATCAATAAATGAATGTTGATTTAATTTGACAAAGAAATCGTGTTTTCAATGTTGAAGATTTTAGATGATGTTGAGTTAGAGACCTAGCTACTTTAATTACAGAATCATCTTTAATAATAACCTGCACATTATTACAGTACCAGTCTGGGGGGGGGGGGCACAGTGGGTGGCTGGAGGTCGGGTGTTCAATACCTGCATTGGCCGAGAATGTTCATCAGGATTTTTCGGCATGGTTTCCCCTTGTCAGTGGTGCAGGACGAAGGGCCTGACAAGTACAGCTGTCTAGTCATTCGGATGGGATGAAAAACCGAGGACCTGTGTATACATTGATGTGCACATAAAAGATCCCTTGGAATTCGATACAAGAGTAGACCACAGTGCCGCTGCCTGGGCAAAATTTCCCTCATGCCCGTCTTCATTAGCCCAGTATTAGCAGAACAGTAGGACGTTAAACCCCATTTCATTTCATGCCGCGATGCTCAAAACGGTGCGTTAAGTGGTCAAAAAACGCACCAAAACATTGAGTTGTTGGTGTCAACATGGGGACTACATTTATATTCTTACGCTGTGATACTTCGCAAAAAGTATTTAACAATTCTTGACAATTATCGGTGTATGATAATAATGTATTATGACGCATTAAAAGTTGTAAACTTGTAAGAAAGTCTACACGTTAGTTTTGTGATTGATACTGTCAAATAAATGAGCATATGTATTTTAAAATTAAAGTAATTAAGTCTCTAACTCAATATCATCCAAATATTAGCGATTTAGTTTCTTTAATACGAGTACAAATTATCAGCAAATGTTCTCTGATTCTAATTACTCCGATTTATGTTATATAAAACAAACGCTAATACTTCTCAACTACCAAGCTAACAGACAAAGGCTTTTGACAAATCTGCAGGAAGCCATTTCGCTCGATAAGGTTGACCAATTAACTTACCGTGTAATCTTCTTCTATCGTATACAATATGAATGTTCAGCAAGTTATTCTGTATAAAAACATAGTCGGCCTCCCTAATAAAACATATTTTTCCATAGTAACAGGCCTGCATAGTAATAAGGAGTAAATACAATTTAACACAAATGCTTTACTTTACTATTTCATAATTTAGTAAAAACTGAATCATGTTGCGTAGTGCTTTATTAATTAAAAATAGATTAATTAAATACGATGGGCTTTAAAGAGAGAGAGAGATGGGGTTTAACGTCCACTCGACACAAACTAGGTCATTTCGGGACAAACATATGGTTTTAATTTTATTTCAATAATTTGCATGCGCGTAGGGGTCTTTAGCAGTGGGAGGAAACCGGAGGACCCGGAGAAAACCCACAAGGTTGGACAGGCGACCCTACTCCTTGTCATGTACAACCGGGGATTAGAAACCACGCCAGTTGACTCAATGACAGGCTTTATGATACAGCACGCCCGTGCTAACCATTCAGCCATCCAACCCCCCAACGATGGGCTTTAAGATAATACAACGTTACACTCTTTATTTAAACAATTCACATCAAACATTACCCTGTATCATAAATCACAGGGGACATGTACATGTACATATGTGTGTCACCTGTCATATCAATCAAGAGTAAATAGAATTAAAAAACAAACTTGATAATTCCATAAATATAATCTCCCTCCCTAAGAAAATGTCCTTTTCCATAAATGAAATGAAATGAAATGAAATGGAGTTTAACGTCCTACTGTTCTGCTCCTAACCTGGGCTAATGAAGACGGGCATACGCCATACAGTGTGCTATGAGGGAAATTTTGCCCGGACAGCGGCACTATGGCCTACTCTTATATCGAATTCCAACTGCCAAGGGATCTTTTACGTGCACGCCAATGTGTACACGGGACCTCGGTTTTTCGTCCCATCCGAACGACTAGACAGCTTTCTTTGTCAGCCCCTCCGTCCTGCATCACTGACAAGGGAGAACCACGCCGGAAAATCTGGATGAACTTTCTCTGCCAATGCAGGGATCGAACACCCGACCTCCAGGCTAGCGAGCCAGCGTCTTACCCACTTAGCCACGTGATCTCCTCCTTTTCCATATTAGCCTATAATAAAGAGTAAATATATAATTAATCCCAGACTTTATTATTTCATAATTTAGCCTCAATTGATTAAATACGATGGGCTTGAATGTATTACTAAATTACACTCTTTATTTAAAGATAGATTATGGGAGATTACATAAAGAGCTGGCAGTTCTCACTATAATAGTTAAAACTT